ACACTGCCAACAACAAAACCAGCAAAGATAACAGAGGTTGAAACGAATCCAAGAGAGCCACGATCACAAATAAGGTCAAACTGAAAGAAGAATGAAACACGAACAGTGGTAAAATTTGAATTCGTACAGCTCGTTATTCGTGTTTCGCTTTCAAACCAGGAATGTTTTCATGTTTTGAGTTCTTTTCCTAGAAGGAGATTTCAAAGTCGATCATGCATGGAATTCTGATTGATTCAGTGATCTATTATGTTTCATGCAGTAGAAAGTTCTTAACTCTTAGAATTGACCTGGGGGCTTTAATGTTTTATAGGCACAGAGTAATTGCGCTCCTTCGTGAAATATATATATTTTTACCGCTCGAAATTAAGATTCATGCCTTCGAGCCACCGTGTGTAATCCTCTCTATGCTTACCTCTATACCCAATCTCTATATATTTAACTATTACTGAGTTATGAGCCCGAGATTCGCGCAATAGTTACCACACATAGAAATCGAGAGCAAAAAATCTGATTGTTTTAGTGTAAGTCTACTAGTCGTTCAACGCTTTATCTAAATCCTCTTCACTAACATTTCGAAAACGAAAAGAAGCGGACGCCAGTTTATTAACAAGTGCACACTGCACCAGGCTACTCACTATCTACGACAAAGTAGATGGTGATATAGCGTAGCCAATGTGATAGAACGCTAGTAGATTTATACTAAATAAGGATATATTAACGTAAAATGTTGCAGTAGAATCGCATAATATTGGTGTCTTTACCAGGAAAACTAAAGTTAGTTCATGCACTTCTTCAATTTACTGTATACTTACCTCCGTGACGACCGAAGTAAAGTCATCTGCAAATTCTTCTTGGGGAATATCACATCTGTGTTTATAGTTGTCGTCTCCTAGACTAATGGTTCCTGTAAACGGACACGTGGAGATATTTTTGCACTTCCAACCGGGTTCAGATGCGATAAACACCATCAGTATCACAGGAAAGCACCACCATAATCCATAGGCAATGCTAAAATATACGTTGAGCACGATTTGGTAGCGACCAAAGCTTCCAATTTTTTCCAGAATTTCGTCAGTGGTTAATTTCATTGCTG